AGAATGGAGGAGAAGGGATTGAAGCGTGGCTCTCCCCCGCAGGTGATTTCTCACTTTCCCTCTTTGTCTTCCTCTGGTGAGCACACATGCCCTACGGCAGAGACAAAACAAAACAAAAAGACATGTTCCTAGATCAACTTAAAACAAACCAACAGGGATCAGCAGTTGGTGTAAAGGCTATGTCGCTGGACTCCCATGTAGTCAACCAGGGTTTGAGTCCCAGACCTGGTGGCATATATATGTGCATGCCCAGGATCCCGAGAGGAGAATGGAGGAGAAGGGATTGCAGCGTGGCCATCCCCCAGGGGGGTGATTTCTTGCTTTCTGTCTCTGTCTCTCTGGCGCCCTAGAGCAAAAATCTCTAAAAAAAAAAAAAAACAACAACAACAACAACAAACAGCAATTAAAGAGGTGGAAGTAGGAAGAGCTATCCAAGAGAACACAGCTGCTCATCCAGCCCACCTCTGTCAGACAGTGTAGGAAGCCCTGGAAATGTTCTAGAACATGGGCATTTCCTGGAGCCGTGTGGTCGAGTTGACGAGCAGCTGAGCCAACCGGAGTCTCCCCCTAAAAAGAGGCCAGACCCTTCTCCCCACAGGCACCCCCAGTTCCTGCCATGGCCCCCAGAGGTGCCTCCCCCTGGATCAGGGGTGCCTGCCCCTGCCACAGACAGCTCCCCCCAACCCACACACCCTGGCCGGGCAAACGTCTCTCAAGAGACACCGCACCCACGGCATCTGCTCTGCCCCAGCCCCATCACACAGATGAGGAAACAGGCTTCAGGGAGCGACAGTGACTCTTGATGGCTTCCTGTGGACAGTGGAGCAGGCCCTGCAAGTCACATCTCTGGCTGATCCAGGGCTCTCTCTTTTCTTTGCTACAGGGAGCTTGTGCTCACCACCGAGAGCCAGAGAGAGGGAAAGTGAAAAAGCACCTACCAGGAGGGATGGCCATGCCGCAATCCTTTCTCCTCCATCTCCTCTTGCGATTTCGGGCACATACGTGCATGTGCCCAGAGTGTTTTTCAAACCACCAGGTTTGGGACTTGAACCCCACACACCAGCCATGTGAGATACAGTATCTTAACCACCACGCCACTGACTGGCCCAGTCCAGGGCTCTTTCCTTCAGGTACCCACTGCCCTTGTTCTGTCCCACGTATGACAGCCCTGGGCTGCAGGGCGCGGGAATGGGATGGCCGGCATGTGTGTGCGGGAGCCCTACATTCCTCCCCAATGGCAGCTCTGCGGCAGGCTGTGCACCAGCCCCACGTGCAGATGTGAACAGTGAAGCCTGAAAGTGAACCCAGAGTGAGGGTGCGTGTCAGCTGCGCCCCCACCACGGGGTGACCGTGTAACTTCTCTGAGCTCGTCTGTAAAAGGAGATGGATCACTCCTTCTGGAAGACTGAAGAGGACCGTGGCTGTGACTGCCCAGCATGGCGGCCTCCGCGGAGCGGCTGCTATTCTGGGAGCCCATTGACCCGCCAGGCCAGGCAGGCTCACCGATAGGCATGAAGGGCTGGGAGGCAGGGCTGGGCCTGGACATGCCGATGGCGTTGACCGCGTAGACGCGCATCTCGTACACCACGCCCTCGATCATGCGCCGCGCCTCGTGGGTCAGCTCCCGCAGCAGGTCGAAGTTCAGCCGCATCCAGCGGTAGCTCTTCTTCTTCTTGCGCTCCAGGATGTAGCCTGGCGAGGGGGAGGCGGGGCTCGGGTGGGGTCCAGGCACCCCGAGGCCCTGCCCTGGCTCTGCCCGCGCGCTCACCCAGCACCGGCTGTCCTCCATCGTAGGCAGGCGGCTCCCACCGCACGGTACAGCAGTCCTCGCCCACGTTGCTGATCTGGGGGGCCGCGGGGGGGTCTGGCCCGTCTGGCGGGCCCCCCCAGTCAGAGTGATCTTTTAGAACGCATTCCCTGTGGCTGCCAGTCCCCCGTCCCCCCTGCGCGGGTCCTGCACGCACACGGAACCCTTTCATTCATCGCCACACGCAAGGGACCCTCTCCACCTCCCTGCCTTTGCACAGCTGTCCCCTCTCCCTGGGATGCGGGTCACCACCATCTTCTCAGCCTCCTAAAGGCTCGGCCCTCCAACACACACACACCCCATGCCCCCACACCAGCAAAGAACTGCGCCTCGCTCAGTGCTCAGCTCAGGGACCCAGTGTCACGGGACATCTGTGGGATGTGTCCCCTCCAGGCCAGGGTGCCTGGCAGGCAGAAAAACGTGCCCATTCATTCATTGCCCTGCTCGGTGAGGTCTGCTCTGTGGCAAGCGTCACCGCCCCGGGCTGTCCCTCTGTGTTCTTCAACCTGCGCCCCGGCCAGCCTCACCGATGACCTTGACTGTGAGGTTGACCTGGTCCTCGCCCACTGGGTTCTTCACAGTGACTGTGTAGACGCCCTCGTCTTCCTTCTCCGCTCCCTCCACAGTGAAGATGCTGCGCTCCTTGGTGGTCTCCACGCGGACCCGGCCCTCGGTCTCACACAGCAGCTGAAGGGAGCCGGTGGGCAGTGGGGTTCGAGTCGGACCCCAGAGGCCCCTGCAGCCGCTGCGATACTCAGCGCCTGAGATGGGAGCTGAGCTCGGTGCGGGGTCTCTGGGTGGGCACAGCCCGAGGGGAGACTGCGTGTAGTGAGTGCCGATGGAACCCTGCCCCGACACCTGTGGGGACAGGGCCACCGGCCGGGGCTCCGACTGCTCCAGCTGTCATGCAGTCCTCACGCTCTCCCGTCAGCCGAGGGGGAATGCCTGACCTCGCAGGCCCAGGTGGACGGGCCTCCGGAAGGGCGGGCAGGAGAAGCAGACCTGGATGGCGCCCCAGGCAGTGGCGCGTTCCAGAGAGCTCCAGGGAGACCCACTCCCCACTGGGAGGGAGCATAGAATCGAGGTCAGTTCAGGACAAAGGCAGCCATGGAGGGGCGCCGTGACAAGGACTTCCTGGCCATGGGAGGGTCAGTCACCTCCTCCACACTGTACCTGCCTGAGGTGTGCAGGGCCCCCGCCTGGGACAGGAACACCCCTGGCCAGGTGTGGCACCTCCTGGAGACCTCGCCCCGGGGAGGACACAGCTCCGTCCTGACCTCAGCCTCACTCACCTTCTTGTCAAACACCCACTCGTCACTGTCCCCTGCATCCTCCGTGGCACCGGGGGCTGACCCAGCTGCGCCCTTATTTCCCTGGGAACAGAGCAGAGGCTCTCAGCAGAGACCCGCCCCCCCCCAAAAAAAACTGGCCAGGGGGCCCCTGCACTCCCACGGGGCAGCCAGCTGTCAGCTGTGCTCATCTGCAGTGGCTGGGGGCACGTCCCAGCACTCGCCTGGTTCCACACACCCGTTTCTAAAAACAACTTTTTATTACATTTTGCCAAAGGATGCATGGGCTCACTGGAGACTGAGAAGGAGAGTGAGAAAGCTCCTCCCACAGGGGGTGACCACACTGCAGGCCCGTCCCCTCCATTTCAGCCCCCTCTCAGGATCTTAGGCACGCATGCACGTGCTTTTCAAGCTGCTGAGTCTGCGATGCGGACGGCCGTGCAGGATCCAGCTACCTGACCACCGCCACGCCACTGGCTAGCCCCCACACCCTTTTTTAATTTTATTTTTTTGCCACAGGGTGCATGCACACAGTGGAGAGGAACAGAGAGTTAAAGAGAGGGAAAATGAGAAGTCATCCATTGGGGGAATGACCGCATCACAATCCCTGGTCCTCTATTTTCCTCAGGAATTTTTGGGCATGGCCTGGCATGATTTTCAGGCTGCTGGGTCTGGGACTTGAACCACAGAGTCGGCCATGTGAGACTCCAAATACCCCCATGCCACTGGCTGGCCCCTATGCCCATTTCTAAAATTAAAAAAAAAATAGGGACCAGCAGTTAGCATAATGGCTGTGTTGCTGGACTCCCACGTAGTCGACCACGGTTCGAGTCCCGGACCCGGTGGCTTGAACTCACGCCGGGTGCGTGTGCGTGCGTGCCCAAGATCCCGAGAGGAGAATGGAGGAGAGGG